AAAATATTCATATCGGTTGATTTTCAATTATAAACTATAGGTAGATCTCAATGGAAAAAATCTAATTTATAGAATATTATTTCACTTATTTATAAATCGACGAAATATAACCAGATAATTAATTTCTTTTAGAAAATAAGAAGAATATTAATTATAATATTTTTTCAAATAAATGCTATATATATATATATAAGAATATCATGATTTTATATATTAGGTTAATATATATATATATATATTCAGAATCTTTTTATGAAATCATAATAAAATCAAATAATTATAATGAAATATCGAAGATATATTCTCTATAATATGAATTCTATGATGAGAATGAATAAATTGGATATATTTATATATAAAATATATATCAAGCCAGTATCCGATCTAATTTCTAATGAATATTAAAATCATTGGAGAATCAAATATATAAGAACCTGATGCGAATTTGTAGCCTGATTCCAGTTGTATGCCCCCCAAAAAAAAATGCCGGAAATTAGACCGTCAGTTCTTAATAAGCCCATGGTCCGGAATCTATCAATTGCAGCCTGGAACCTAAGCCCTTCCCACTTTCGCAAACCTCGGTCTACGAACCCATCCCACCCCAAGGGACTTACTTTCCCCAAGAAATAAACCCGAAGTCAGAAACCTTCAATCCCAAGTTCCCAATCTTAAGTGGTTGAGAGAGCCCAGCCGAAGAAGGGAAGGAGGCTACATGACCCAAAACCCCACGCCAAACCCCCAAGTCCCCCGTCGGAAAACCCACAATCTTCTCTATGCACCTACAGAAGCCCGACTTCGACCGAATCACCCCGCACCAAAAGACAGACACATTGGGCGGATTCGAACGTCGGGCTGGGAAGAACCCCAAACCGCAGACCCTAAACGCAACAGCTTCAACCCCTAACCTTCAATTCCCTAACTCCAGATCCTGAGCCCATCGGAAAACCTACCAGCCCAAACCCCCTTCTCTGACTCAACCCTTTCCAATATGCTACCTGCAACCCCCACTTAGCACAGACACACACGAAAAGCAGACACATCCTGGTCGAAAAAAGCCCCCTAAACTCTGAACCTCGAACGGCAAACCTAAATACCAAATCTTCTGGCCTAAACCCGAAGCCCCCAAATCCCAAACTTTGTAACTGACACCGAAAAACTGGAGAAATCCCTTCATGATCACCTCACGCCTACCACCAGGAATCCCGAACCTCCCTAACCCTTTTCGAGAACATCCATCCACAAAGCCCACCCCCTTTCCCACACACTCACGAAAGGCAGGCCCATGTGGAGGACTCGGATGATGGGATCCCAAACATGGTTTATGTCGATTAATCAGCAACCTTCATGCAAAGACAGCCCAAGTTCTCCGCTTTAGTTCTTGTAAATTGTGCAGCATCCCCTGGGGAAAATCCATCGTTTCAGCTTTGTTTAGGCCGACTTTGACAATCGGACAGGTCCGAGTTTAGATCTGTCCTATTGCAAGCCGCAAGTGGCAGGAGAGTACCCTGCGCTGCACGCTCGGCACGGCCTCGTCAACCCATGCTTCTCCCAGTCCCCACACGCCGATCTTGCGAACATCTCATATAATACGAAACAATATGACATGAAGCGCGCAGATGCGAACATCACAAGACAGAGATTTGCAACAACGCTTACTGTACTTGCCCGTACGAGTAGAGAAGACAAACCACGAAATCATATACAGAGCAATACGACGCTTGTAATACTTATTGCACGGACATGACCAGAAGGTTGCATCCTTTGATCCCGACTTCCTGCGTGCCGACTGGATGCTACGCATATTATGTGCGTGCTTAAACAGCTGGTTGCTGAGGCTGCTGCTTGAAGCCAAAGCTGGAAACCCCCTGCACGTGAGAAAGATACTCCTGCAAGTGTGCATGCCAGGTTCTGGCACTGCGGGAAGTCTGACAGCAGGAGCTGGCGTCCTCTATGGAGACGGGTGCATTCAGCGCCTGCAAATTGTGTGAAGCTGTGAGAAGTTCTCGCACTACACAAGCACAACTGCTGATCCTCTTGGACAACGTGACGAAGCCTGCCCAGGCGATGGATGCATCACAAGCAACATTCTCCCAATCTGTCGATGCATGCTGAGGGAGTTGCAATGCCGATGATATCCCAAACATTGACGCGTTGCTCAAGATCTCAGTTCAGTTCTGCAGTGGGGGTGGGCTGCTGCTTGCAGCTTCTGTGCCTCTGCAAGTCGCGTAAGTTCCTCACACCACCCGGTCCGGTACACCTCGAAAGCGGGGCCTGGTAACCGGCCTTGGCAGAAGGAGCTCCTCTTGAGTGAAGGTGTGTGACCCAACACCCAGGCAGTGTTGACCAAAGCAGCTCCAGCGCTTTAGACGTATCTTGGTGGACCGGTGGACCATGCGAGTCGTCAGCGGCTTTGTTGAGCAACTGAGTGAACATCGCCCCGTGCATTACAAAGTCTACACCAGTCTATGTACAAGCAGACCGTCAGCGCAGGAAGAGATTCACAAAGTCAGGGTCATGCAGGGCACCTGGGCTGAAAAGTGGACTGTCCGATAAGCAGCGACCCAGAATCAGAAAGAGCTCTACATGGACATCGAACACTTAGTAATCCTGACCTTCGGTTCCTTCCAGCAAGAACTCGTCACTTGCCAGTGATAGTTGGGCAGTCTTTTCTCTGATCTTGCACGGAACGAGCACCGCTTCAGGTTCCCTTCAGGAGCCTTCCAGTCCAATGATGCCGGGTCCTTTGCCCAGCCTTCCTCGTGCGGGATGTACGAAGCATCATACTTCCAACCCCAGCCTCGTGCTACGTCTAAACCGGTGCATTTTCGGAAACGTTTCTACGATCGAAGTGCACCGGCTAGCAGCAGATCACTGAGTGGAAACTCGAGCAGGCGTCCTTCCCTGACTTCTCCTGTAGATCCAACAGACAAAACTCCAGTCGCAGAATCGAACCTCGACTGCAGGCAAGATGCTGTGGCATCGCTGCCAAGAAAGGCATGATGGGGTACATGGAGAATGCACTTAGTGCGAATGTCTTCATGTTCTTTGAGACTCTCGGCCTGCACCGCACACTTTGCAACAAGCGGTACGTCATCAGCCCAACACGCTCCCCAGACACGCCTCTCAGGATAAGAACCCAGCATTGTTTGCTCCCGCTCTTTCCGAGCCATCACTGCTTTGTTGATTGACTGGGTCCTCAGGGGACATGTATACATCGCCTGCGTGCACCCCTCCGTTCTCAGGGCAAGCATCCGCTTATCACGTGAGCCTGTGGTGGCCCCATGCTTGCAAATCTGCGCTGAACCGATGAGGAGCACATGCGAGTGGCTTCTTCCTGAAACACGGCAAAATGCTCAAACGGGAACTAACTTAAACCTAACATGTCCGAGTTTACGCAGCGGCCTTTGGTGGTGACCATGAGCTGGCGAGGATTCCTGGGACTGGCTCCACGAGCATCTGCTCATGCAGTCTGGTCAACACAGTCTGGCAAAATGCCCAAGGAGTGTCTCGACCACGACCGGAGGGCGCGGATGCAGGCCGGAGCTTCCTTGGATGCGCTGGTCACGCCTGAAAGTGTTACGTGGACCAGCACGAAACGACGGTAAGGAAGATCTGCCTCCCCCGTGAACAACGTCACCTTTTTTGAAGATTTGAGGCTGGCCACTGTCTGGGAGCGGCTTGGCCTTCTTGGGCCGAGCGTAGAGTCAGTGGCCTGTCGCTTCGCAGCATTTAGAAATCACAAATCCTGCTGAGGCATCAGTTCACGCTGCAAGGCTTATTTTCGGCCATCTGCAAAAGTCCCGATGGTTCATTCGGACGGCTTCACGGAACATGTGGGCCCATGGAAAAGCATTGAGGGGGTTAAGTTTGAAAATTAGGAACAAAGCTCAGGAGCTTGTGCCCACACACTTGCAGGTCAAGTCATTGGTGCCCAGCTCACTCGATATCTTTGGCGCATCGGCCGCCACAGACACACCTTGCTCGCGAGCGGATGTGCTGCAACACATCTTCTAAGTCACGTGGGAGGGCAGCCGATATATCGTGCTCTACGCCTTGCACGTCTCTGAACCTTATCCTGCAACGATGCAGCGATCGAAAAAGCCTGTTGCTTCGCTTGAATATGCATCGTCTCTGGTGCCCGATGTGATCTTGACAGATCTCACCGTCACCGCCGCTACCATTAGATCGCGAAATGCCAACTATCCGTAAGGGATCACTTCCAGGTAGCACAGGCTGGGCTTGCCTTCACCACCGCTTTGGCTTGGCAGGCCAGCACATTTGCGCCTTGACTGCGGCCCTTTGGTCGCCCACCCATCCATGCGAGAGTACCGTGTATTTGCCCAGAATCTCACTAGCAGCCAGTTGAACTCTGAGAGCATTGTAGGCTTCATAAGTTCTACTGGATAGCAGAAATGCGGAGCTCGGCATCAAACAAGATCGGAGTGGCAGCTTCTTGCGAGGCAAGCAGCGAGTGCAGCGGTAGTTTTAAACTCACCACTCACAATTTGGGGCTCCACTTCCTAGCCCGGCGGCTTCAAGAGCACCAAGAGATGAGGGATCTCAGAAAGGATGCTTGGCTTCCCCTGCTGGAAGGGCTCGCGGTGCATGCACATTGGGCTTGAGATGGCCTCCACTCAAGGCTTCCTGTCGGAAGCAAGCCCTGCTACTAGCGTGAGCCTTAGGATAGCCATCCGAAAACTGTGGCCTACCAGACCTACATACAGTAAACCCCAAAAAGTTGGAAACTGGATTAAGGACAAATAGTGCTGGGATTCAATATGCATGACTCTTAAGGATGGAGGCTATTGGGTTTCCAACTTTTGGGCTTCTACTATAAGGGCAAGCCCACAAACTCCCGAAAATATGTCTTCGCACACTCATCCAAGCCTGCCTGGAAAAAACCACTGGTGAGAGCATGCTGTCTATGCGCACGACCCGCTCTTCTTGCACAGCTCGCAGGAGGTCAGGTCCAGCATTACCCACGATACCCAACAAACACATCGCGAGCTCTTCAGAAGTGCTGTCCTCAAGACGGCTTACGCTTCTGTCCGTGAGAAACTTCATGTAGACCTCGGTAGCTCCACTGACCAGCCCACCACAGTGTAGATATTTGTTGTGATCATTGAGTGAAGTTCTTGCGCAAGTCACAAAATGGCTTCGGCCCGAATGGATTACTGCAGGCTCCCTGACATTTAGCCTTGCCCGAGACCAGAGTAAGGCGGACGGTGACCCAGGTCGGTCCATCAGTTCTGATTTGATAAGGAAATCAATGCTCAATTCTCGGAAAACTGCCGGAGCTCTCGACTGGTGGCCGCTCTCTTCGCGCCAGCTGATCCTGATGTTGTCGTGCTTGATCAACGCATATTGCCACGCTCTGCATGGTGCCAAAGGCGGCCATCACACTTGTAAGGCTAGTTTCACTGGGAAGGAAGGACAGACAAGGCAAACTCCTCACTGGACCCAGAGAACAGCGTCTGCTAGCATACACTCATGGCCAAGCTGTAGCTGACGATAGACTGCTTCACCTTGGATAGTCAACACAAAGGCACTCACTCGCGAGACAACAATACAAAAATGTACCTTTACCTTCACAACATCACCCCACTTTGGAACATCACGATCACAGCATTCACGCCATGGTACTTTGGGCTCCGACGGTTGCTGATCGCTGGAAGAATGACCCATCAAGCTGGAAACTACATGCCATTAGCCACCTTGCCTGCAAGCCACTATCGCAGCCTGGAGATGCGCGAAGCTAGTTCCAAACCTTCTCTTCTGGACCGCGCGACGTGGAACGGGAGCAGCCCCATTCCCTTTTACAAAGGCTGCTGGTCATGTAGCTGACATGCCCAGTCATCTCATGGCGGTAGCTCATGCAACCTGCTTCAAGCTTCTCTGGGCTAGCAAAGTCCGTGATGGCTCACAAGTAAGGAGGTTTCGAAAATCAACATTCTCCTTCCAAATGTCACGACTGCTTATTTTTGACATCGTCGACCGCACCAATACTACATTGATCCTACAATGCAACAAGCTTATCCGCATTGCCCCAAAAAGTTATTCTTACAGCATCGTCAGCATCAGCCTCAGTATGAATATCAAATCGACACTGCATCTCATTATCAAGTGCCGCACGGCGCCAATCCCACCATTCCGTTGCAGTCGCTATCAGCACCGTAGGCTGCCTTGCCCTCAACCCAACAATCAACACAAGCTGCAAACTTTACCGGGATGGGCAGCGAAGTCGCAGCCCACAGCCCTACCTCGTCCCTGGCTGGCATGCAGCATCTTAATGCCTCCGTTCTAGCATACTGCTAATGGCTTCGTTACAGATTCACTCAAGCGTACAGATGACAAGGAAGCCGCCCAAAACAACATCCAGCAACCTGCTCTGCGCAATCGCGACAAAAACTGATTGAAGCCAAAACAACTCGGCCTGAAACTCGGAGAGGCTGCTCTTTGGTGTGCAAGAGCCGAAGTCTCCTGCAGATAATCTACACCGACGCTCCCAACAGACAGCTGTATTTTTCCATCGCCGTCGGAAGCGAGACAGAATGGACTTGAAGTTCCGGCATCCTCGGCCATGTCGTGTAGGGGCACTGTCCGACTACAGACTCCTGACTACTTGCGAGCCTCGAGCCAACGCCACGGTCAAAAGCAAGTGCCAGTGCGATGATTGTGGGCCAGCTGATATGTCTTTGCGTACATATTTTGATCAAGGAGCCCATGCCGGCTCGCAGATGACACTCGTAGAACGTTTTGGAGCTCCTCAACGTTCCATGTTGGGTACACTGGAGGGCTTCCGGTCTCTTGCCCATTCCAGTGCAAGGAGGGTCCTTGATGCAACGTCATCCTTCCTGCACTGTTCGAGCTTGGCGCTTACCCGACTGCAGAACGACAAGAGGTCAGCAGATCAGGTTACACTAACCTTGGCTGTGATGGTCTGTTGCTGCTTGTGAGCCTACTTTTGGCCACTACCTCACCAGAGAACTGCATCAGCTACCGCATACTGTAGGAAACGCTGAACATGCCAGAGCCTCACACACAGAGACACAAAGCTGACATTGCAAGCATAGGAGACATAGTAGACCCGTCTGTGGCGTTCTGCGTGCTGCCGAAGGGTCAACGGAGCCAAATATCCCTGGCTCCAAGCATCCCCAAAGTACACCCGGATGATGGAAGCGATCATTGTCCTGACTTCACTGTCAGAGCTTGGCTACGGATTTGGTCCAGGTCTAGCCGTCCCGGTCTCTCGTATCACACCGCCGCTGCAATCTTGTGACTTCTTCATGCTGCTCTGATATCACACAGAAGCCATAAGCTTACGAAACTCTTACAGAACTTAAGCTGCACAGCCTCCTGGAATAGATCTCTTGTTCGCATCGCGCTTAAGGTTTACAATAGGATTCTGCACTCGCAATGTTGGCAGCAACTCAGGCCGTGACTGAATTGACACAACGGCCACGAAAGAATTACTCGCCATCCTCAGCACAACACTGCATCGGTGAAGTTTCCACACAAACTCCAAAAACAGGGTCAGTGCCCTTGTACCGGGCAACACCAGACCGCGCCCAGCTCGGCCATCGGGATTGAGGCCCAGCAACTCTAGCCAAGAACCTGGGCCCAGTTACAAAGCGCCTTCAAAGACAAATCATGTCAACGGACTGACATTTGTCTATCAAGCGGCGAAACTTGATAATGAAGGCTGCTGCGAGAAGAAAGACTGGATAGTAAATGATCAACGCTGGAATGGCGTGTGTGAGTGTGACCACCATCATGACCTGAGCGGATGAAGAACACGGAAGCACACATCGCATCGGTGCTGCAGCGGGCACCTATCTCTGAGGATCTCCCAAACATGAGTCGCGGACGAAAACTGAAGATCCAAACCTCACTGATGTGGAACGACACTCGAGGTCCAGGCAAGATACCCGACATGCTGGAGGCAGCTCTTCGAGAACTTGAAACTTCCCTTCCCACTGCTGATTTGCGGAACCGACACCCTGACCGAGCAAGTGACACGGCTTTAAGAGCTGCTGCCTGCCCTTCATCACGACAACTTCCAGGAATCAGGGCATGTGCATGTCAAGAAACTGCATGATGATGATGAGGAGAACGGCCCGATGCCAGTCTCGCCATCCCTGGCCATCGTACTCCTTAAGCTGCGCAGGTGCTGCCGACCGCCTAGTATCAATGGCAGCAGCAGCAGCAGTAATAGTAGTGGTGGTGGTAGTGGGGGGATAGTAGCGCCATGAAGCCGGCTTCTGCGACAGCGCTCAAGACTCCGCAGAGAATCTTGGGGTTGCAGCTAGCAGTCGTGGCAGTATTAGTGGCAGAAGCAGCAGCAAGATCACTTGGAGCATTGATAGTTGTAGTCGTAGTAGTAGTAGTAGTAGTAGTAGTAGTAGTACTAGTAGTAGTAGTACTAGTAGTAGTAGTGGTAGTAGTAGTAGTAGTAGTAGTAGTAGTAGTAGTAGTATTAGTTTCAGCAACAGGAGTAATGGTAGTAGTAGCAGTAGCAGCCATCGTCGTAGTAGTAGTGGAAGTAACAGGAGGAGGAGGAGGAGGAAGAGAATCGTGAATCACCCAAGGACAAAGCGAACCCGAGGCAAGCAGCCGCTCCGAAGACTGGCCGTCCCAGCAGGCGTGCCAGCAGCCAGTCCCAGATAATCATCGACATCATGATCGAGCGCCTAGGCCCTAGTAACCTAGTAACTAGTACTCTAGTAAGGCAGACTATCCAAGTGACGCTGAACTACATGCAACATGCATCCCTTTTTCCATGGCTTATCTGAACTGACTTTCTGGCTGTCATGAATGCAGGCAAATACGGGCAGAAACCTACGCAATCACAAGCTGCCGGGATGCACAAAGACGGACGAGTGCACAAAGACATACACATACCTTGACCAAAGGAGACAGCATACATGCCAATGGAAGAGCTTGATGCATCTGGTTGCTGTGGTCTGCTCGTATGGACAAGCAAAGGTGCAAGTTATACATGTGCCACAAGCTTTCGCCAGCAAGCCAGTCAATCTTGCCAACGATAGCCAGGGTTTCCATCACGAGCCTCTGCTGTCATCGCCAAGTCATCGCTTCTGACTGAAGGTGCACACACCGCAAGCCCGAATTTCTGAAAGTAACCACCCGTGACGACTTCGGGCAACCTCTGTACATTCAGCACGATTGCACTTCCTTGGTGCCTCAACTTTCCGGTTGTGTTTGCACAGCGGTCACTGATTCTTATCTCATTGGTTGTATACGCCCCTTCTGTGCAGGTCGTTTTTTGTGCATGATGGCAACAAATATCCAATTTCTTGCATGTCTAGCAATGGCCTTACCTCCTGCGACTCCTGTGTTGGTAGAGTAAGGATGCTACTGGCCTCGGGCAATACTCGGGGCGAGGACCGTGATATTGATCAAACCCTCAGGACTAGGCTTAGACGTGACGTGGGTATGACTTTTCCTTGATTGTCAAGTTGTCTGTAGCTTGGGGCTTGCGACTCCCCACCCATTTCGGGGTCTATACTTTGGCACTGTTCACTCGTTTGACAGTTGAAGTTACCACTCCGCTAACCTGCTTGCTCCACGTTTGCCACTTTCCATTCGGCATGGGGGGGTAAAAGTTGGCTATGGGCAGGTCTTCTCAACTTGTTGGCTTCATTGTTAAAGCAAAAAGTTGAAGCTCTGTGCGCCTTACTTTCATGACTTACTTCCTGGAGAGTTCCTGAGGTTCTTCGCTTGCTTGAACACGAAATACGCCTCTATGCAAGCCGTCGTTCGCCGCAACACCTTTGGGCAGTAAGGCTTCGCATGCATCTGGCACGGAGTCCAAGACCTGCGGTTTTATCGTCGGCCGAGCTTCGTTAAGAGCTGGATCCCAACATAGCATTTCTGCCTTGGTGCTGCGGGCTGAGCAGTTGTCGCAGTTTTCACGAGCAACTGATTCCAAGCTACGTTTTGCTCAATTCCTCGTAGCGCTCCTCGTAGTATCTTGAAGTGTCGATCAGTTGCTGCATCAGCGCACACACCCAACATGAAGCGAAAATGACGTAATAGGGCTTCTCCACAATCCTGGCCGCAGCGCGAGCTCCATGACCGTTGGCGAGACAAGACTGCAAGCGCACAAGGTTGTACACGTATTTTGCGTGAAGGTACATGCACCCTCACGGTCCGAAACAGGTTGCAGAACTCCACAGTCACTTGACCTCATGTGCATGCAGGAAACCACTGGTCTTGCAAATGCACCAAAGCCAGAGGTGGCATGATGCCCACACATTGTTCAGCAGGTGTTCAGCAAAGGCACTGCTGGGAGGCGAGTCTGATAGGTATGGCAGCAGGTAGTGCGCAGCAAGCCGGTCAGCTGCAACTCGCTGTGGCTGTGACAGCAACCACGTGACCAGCAGGCTCGCTGCCGCACCTGCAGCAGCACCTCGCCACTGGCCAAATCCCCCAGCAGCTGCCATTCGACATCATCCTATACTCTCAGACGGAGCGTCTGCCGTCTTTACCGTCGGCAGCTGTATGGCTAGTAAGCCGCCAGCATATCTTTCAAGTGGCAGTTCACTGATGTGAGGAAAGCAAAATTGCAAGGGTCAAAGCATGTTGGGCATGAAACTATTCTTTCACAACTCTGCAACGTTTGTGCCTCGAGCCGGCTCTATATTGTAGGTTGGTGTGGTAAGGCTGCCATGTAAACCAGGCTGCTGCTCATGACTTGTCGTGTTCGGGTCGCGACAGGTGGCACCAAAGGCCAAGCCATTGCATCGGGACTGAAATCTGAAGGTGCCTGTATCTCGATCTCCTGACCAATTGCCACACGAGGGGTCACCATCCAATCTTCAGGCGGCTCACAGGAAACACAACGGCCTGCAGACCGCGAAAAACAAGCTCATCTTCCAAAAGCCACGCGTTGAATAGCATGCCAACCTTCACGACGAAGGAGTTCGCAAGGCGACGGCTATTCATTGCTGCAGCCGATGCCGGGAGCAGGACCGAATAGTTGTCGCGTCCTACTTTCGACCTAAGCTTGCACATTAGACTTACACCATACTTGCTCAGAAAGGGAAGGCGGCCAACCGCTTTGCCTGCACGGCGGCGACTGAGCACTCTGCAGCTTGTCGATTGCAAGAAGCAAAGCCTGAAATGCCAGGGAGGGCTGCACGTGAGCTGAACTGTGGTTACAGGGGGACTAGCGGACAGACAACGCACGCTACGGTCAGAAGGTCAGGCAAGGATGGAAGCCGTGCTGTACTTCGTGACCGAGCACTTCGCCACGCAAAGCGCCACTTGTAGAACAGTTCTGCTTATCGGCTGTCAACTCGCTGGCGGGAAGTGTCGACCAGAAGCGACTGAGGCAGCAACGTGTACAAATATGCCTCTTCGGCAATCCTCGCCGCTCGACCGCACTGCCTGGCATCAGCAGCACACCCCATCCAGGCAATTTGCCACTCGGGAAGCAAGCAGAGCCGCACCTCAATGGCAGAAATGGAAACGATCTGGCGTGCCTTCCTTGCAATGTGCGCACAGAAAACAGCAGTTGTGGGTTTCGGGCCTGCGGGTGACACACTCCAACCAGCTCCTCTAGCTCTGAAGCGAAAGGTACCCTAAACGATAGCAGCGCAGGATTTCTTCAAGCGACGATGGAATCTCCACACAAGCTTGTGTTGAGCATATTGAAGCATAACTAGCATAACGGTGAAACGGCTTGCAGCGCCTTCTGGAATTAGGTGTTTCAGTGCAAAATAGCTACAACGGTGGCAGCAGAGTCTTGGACCGACGTCTGTGTCATAACCTTGAACTGTTGGACAAGCAGGTCCATAGCTGCCACCAATTCGATGCACATGGAACTCAGGAAGCTGAGAGACCTGGGGGGCGATTCCATGACTTGTGCTAGCTCACCTGCCTTAGAAGGGCCTCGGAGCCGTGGCTCCCAGCGAGGCAGCACCCAGCTATTGACAAATAACGGGTCCTTGGCTTTACCAGAGGCGAGGACTCGAGGCAGAGTCTGTCCTCTGCCAACGATTTCGAAGCCAAGACGCTGTGAGGAGTCTCTCCCTGCTCTTTCACTGGTGAAAGCGATGTGGTCCTTTCAGCAAACATCTCCGAACTTCCTATGTGCACCATGAGGCAATGGCAATGCGGCAAAGACAATTAAACCAAGGGTTGTAACGGGCATGGATGTACCCGCTTGCGATACACATGCCCCTCGTGCTCTAAATGGCTCAAAACTATCAAGGGGGAACTCCATCATCCTCGACCGCCTGGGCGTTGTCGCCGAAAACTCCATGCTAAGCCAGGCCGCCTCGCGAGGCAAGTGCAAAGTGTATAAATCACAGGTCTTCATGACTTAACATGCTGACGATTTCGTGACTTCGAGAACACTTGCGCGATCACTGACTGTCGTATCACTAACCTGTTGCAGCAGTGACTGTCAGGTTGCGGGCACAAGATGGGCAACAGCGTTCAAAAAAGAGCCCAAACTCGCAGCTTTTCAGATTCTACAAGTCTGCAGAATCGAGATCTCACAAAGCAGTTCGAACTTGTGATTGGGGCTGTGCCTCGGCGGGCGATGGGCTTCTGAGCGCACGAGGAGGCTCGGCCTCTCTGCCTCCGGTGTGAGTTCTTCGCTTCCAAACATCCCGAAGCCTCAGCTGGCGTCAAGTGGACAGCAGAATCACTCCCACAAGCAGCACATGCACTAGTTGAAGGAAGGCTCTGTGTCTTGAGGTCGGACGGGCAAATGCTTGACCTCGCACTCTCTCCAGATCCAGAAGAGACCGGACCTCTGCAAATCAAGGCTGTCATGTTGGTTTGACTGCTCGGGCTGCATCAAGCCTGGACCGAACCTGCCCAGTGTTCTCTACGCATTTCTACAAGACATGGAGCAATGCATGGGCAAAATATTTATGCGTGTCCCTGGCATCAAATTGTTCTGCGCCGCCCTCTCAACAAATCTCAGCCATGAACTCTGTGCAGGGCTGGCAACTTACTTGAATTTTGGTGAAACACCTCTTGCAAGAAGCTCAAAGCCTCCTCTCCGGAAATCACTCAAACTGGGATATGCCACACGTGACTTGACGTGGATAGCATGCAGTGGTTGGAACATGGCGGACCTTGGCCTGTCCATACCCACACATAAACGGCCACACCTCATCCCCACCAACTGCGATGGTGTGGCGGTTTTGAGCTTCTAAGATATCCTCTTCATCTAATTGCCTCATGGCCTCGAGTAGGAAGTCTGCTTGCTCCTCCTTTGTCTTTGCCTCCACATCCACATTAACACCCCCGATCTCGCACATCTGTCGCGTCAACTTGGAGGGGACCTGCTCTATCATGCTGCGACAGATCTGAGATAGCACAACCTGTTCCAAATCGAACTTTAACGGAATTGGCAACTGCCGCACCACTTTCATAATGAGATCGACCTTTCGCAAGCGATGCTGTTCCCCCTTGAGTTCCAACATCTTTCTCAAATTCACACGCTCGATGGACACGAGAACTACGATCAAGTTGCCACGCTGGAAGTGCTTCTTGGCCTTGGCACTGATCGCCGCCTCATCACGAAGCTTCTCGCAGATCATCTTCTCAACTCCTTCCGCAAGCCGCGAGGCGTACTTGTCATCCAAGACCCGGCCAGCCAGTAGATCCACCGATGAGCTCCGGTTGGTTCGTCCAGTGCTTGTTGTTGTTCTGGTGTAAAACAAATCTTTGCCGCTCTCAATCACGATGTTCAAATAGAACTGAGCTGATGCAATGTGCTGCACATACAACCAGCACCAAAGCCTGGCCAAAGCCAGCCATTGAATGCCATAGGCTGCCATGGCGCGAGCATTTATCACTGTTCCAGTGCGACCGGCTGATTGAATGAGTGTGAAAAGCGTTTCCAACAACCAGAAAGCGGTCCACCACCGAACAGCTCTGTAGCTTCCCATTCCCTCATGCCTTGCAAAATGCATTCCAGCGAGGGGGAATGCCACGTTCCATATGCCAGATAGCGTGACAGAACGCCAAAGCAGCTGCAGCAGCAAGCTGCACAAGCCCAGCACCGCATGCAAGGCGAAGAACTGACGTGCCAGCAGCAGCAACTCAAGCATGCTAAGCCGTTCGGGCTTCTCCACTAACCGGTTGACCAAGTCCCATCGAAGCAAATGTCTCGTGAATGCATTGCCGGGGAAGCTGTTCCACAGCGACTTCAATTTCGCCACGTCGATTGCCCGCCGAGACATGAGCACTGCAAGGCAAGGAAGATACAGCCACTGAGGCGACGAAATGGCCCCAAATCGACTAGAATAGCAGCTGCCAGTGATGGACTGCAGCTTGGGAGCATACAGCGCGAAAAGTATGCAGGTCAAAAACATCAGGCGACTTAGAGAGTCTGCACACAAAAAATCCATCGTTACAGCCAGACACTATAAATTCAGCCAGGTTGCTTAAACATGAGGTTTGGGAGGAGCTCGTGTAATTCCTCGGTCTTCGCAAAACAGTGAACTAAAGCAGCTGGGGTCGCACAGGCAATCAAGCAGCAGAGACGACCCAGAGTCACCACGGATTCGCGCAGCGCTGGCGCCGAGACATTCAGCACAGTCACGGTCTACTTGCCTTGTAAGGCTCTTGCGAGCAAGCCTGCAGTCTTCCACCAAGTACAACGACATCACATGTGTGCAGAAATGCGCCGGGTAAAATGTAGAAAGATAAGAATCTGGACGAGAAACCTGTCGTATGCTGGTTCTGGCGTCCTGCATTGCCGCGATCCGGTGGAGCCAGGCGTTGTCGGCAGTACAGGGCTCAGGGCCTGTGCCTGGTGCCCCGAACCAGGCGACTGCAGTGGCGAAGCTCCAAGCACCAAGGGTCGGCCTTGCGAGGCTCGCTTTGGCGCTCTATCTGGCGGAGGCACGGAAGGCATCTCCATCTTGCACGGGCCACTCAGCAAAGGCCCTTTCTTGTCGGGCGAGGTCAGCAGAGTGGGGCTGACAACCAGTGTCGCCGGAGCCGCCTTTGCCGGAGGCACGGTCGTGCTCGGAGTTACCGAACTTCGGGTTTCAGCGCTCACCTGCACACGGCTGGGAGTAGGCTGTGCGAAAGGCAGTGTGGTGGCTGGGCGCGTGCCTGTCTACGGCCGATGCGTCTCCGAACTACAATATATCCGAAGCTTTACTGTGACGGTGAGCACAAAAGTCTAGCTAACAGTGTTACTTGAATAGCTGTCTTTTGTTCATTGAGATGCACACCTTGCACAGCAACAAAAGATAACAATCGACAACCCGGAATGCAAGGCTGCCTCACATGGCGGCGATCCTTCTGAGAGTGTCCGAGGCGGTCTCTGCGGACTCGGCATGCTGTTCCGCAGTGCGTGGATAGCCGGCCCAAGCGTTTCTGCCAAGGCTTTGCGCTCCACGTCTCGCCGTGATACCGAGTGCTCACTCGAGCTATCTGACGAATCGGAGTCCAAATACGGAGGAGTGAAGCGGCATTGCAACCGCACCTCCGCAGGAAAGTCCGAAATATCGATCTCCTGTCTGACTCTGACGCAATCAGAGACGAAGCTGTGCAGAAGACCAAACAAGTCTCGCTTGCCATCCTGGTCATCTTTCGGTGGAGGATAAACGTAAGCAGGATCCTCGAAATAAAGGCTGAGTTCCTTGTAGGCTCGCTGAATCTCTGCATTCAAGCTCCAAATTTCTGCACAAGCTTCGCGTGAAGTTGCGGCAAAGTTCCGCATGCAAGAAAAGAAAGGGTCTCCATGCCCCTCGGGAGCCTCCGCACCAGCTTTGCCCTGAGCTCTCATGATTCCGATCTTCTCTCCCTTGAACGTGCCGGTGTCGACCAAACTTTCGATATGGCGAAAGCCTTCTAGATGACTGATCGTGTCTTGGTGCACTGTGAAACCACGTCTCAGGCAGGCAGACTGCAAAGCTTCCACAAAGTCTGGAGAGCAAAGGTCCTGCACATCGCTCGCCTGCAACTGCAACAGAACAAAGTGGAATAGGGAGACATCACGGCGAAGCGGAGATCGCAAGTCCAATAACTTGGAAATACCTCAATTGCCGAGCAAAGCGGGAAGCAACTGGATCCGGCAAAAGATGGCGCTGACATCCCAAGTAGTACAGACTAGAGTCTTATGAGCTCCACAGCGCCGTGCCTAGAGAACAGCCTCTGACTGATGTTTCTGCAGGGTGCTCGCAAGTCTGAAGCCACGCTCGGTCGTGTTCGCCATGGAGCCACTGTTCAAAGCATTGCCAGCTTGTAACACAGTCGCCCAAAACCGACGTAGAGCAGGAAGCCGGTTGCCTTGCAACGTCGCCAACTCGCTGAAGAAATCCCAGGGTGCCAATGCATCCAAGATACATGTGCAAACCAACGCCCGTCGAAGTGATTCCAGGTTCTCCTTGCATGTCTCAAGTTCCTCTGGAAACTTCTGGACGAAGGCCATGCATTCCAGCCTGGCAGTCGTGACACCTACCATGCTAAACTAAACCCCTGTTTGCTGGCCGCCTTTAACGGAAAGTTGCGCCGGAGTAAGAACAAACGGTCGGTGCAACCCTCAAATTGTGCCTCATCACAGCTGAAGAACCGAACGTTCAGCCCAAGTTCAGCCAGACCCTGCAAACGACCCGGACGTCTGGATTGGGAGTGCTCCTTCGGTTGAAAAAACTTGAACATGCCCTCTGGGCCAGGAAATGACCTCGTCGTATTAGCCTTGATGTCCACATTCGCATAATACTACAACAGCCTTGAGGAAGATTCATTTGCAACTTGCGCCTGGTCACATGCAGGATGGTTGCCGTTAAGTTGCCACTGTGGGAGACACTAAGCCAGAAGTCTGATGGCTTTTGGAACGAGGACGCGAAATTTGTGGCTCCGCGAAAATTGCAACCTCTGGCGGCTCACGCTATAAATGCTTGGATATCTGGAACTCTGGGCCTGGGTTCTGTCCTTCATTCTTCGCTGGGGAAACAAGAGATCATCAAAGCACATGACACATTATGCACGTAAGACTAGGAAGTCTTTGACATGGCGACTGGGCCGCAAAAGCAACATCTGCACACAGCGCGCAAGTAGTCTCCAAGCAAGCCTAGGGAGACCCCTTTTAGTTCAACGCGGCGCCTTGCAACTATTGCAGGTATCCGAACCACTCCGTATAACAGATGATGTAGATGTGGATGCTCAAGCCTGCGGGCGACATTCCAGCACGCATTAGGGAAGAAGGACCTCTGTCTCTTACCATTCACGCCTTGAGAGAGCTTCAACCCCCCTGCTGTCGACGAAGGAAACAATGCTCGGATTGCTGCCATCGACGTACGAGGGTACGACCTTTCTGAGGTCCTGGTTGCAGACAGAATGCCACCAGGTCGTGGAGGAATGCTCATGAGAAGCAAAGCGCATTTGTGAAAGCATGACATAACTAGCCCAGGGACACTCAGCACTGAACTGCTCAACCGAGCAGTGTCACAGCTAAGAAGGGCCGCGAGTAGGTCAGAGACAGCATTCTCCACTCCATCCTCTAGCGTTTTGGATTTGGATTTGCATGCTTTCAGATTTCGAACGACCGACAATCAAGTAGTAGGCCTGCTTGTGAATTGCAGCTCCGCGCACCATCAGATCCAGTATTCTCTGATGAGTGCTGTCAACCTCACGTAGTTGGACTGCAGTTTGCAGTCGCGGACCAAGTACGATCAGTATCGACAAGGATGACATGCTGCCAAGCTGCAATCAACGAGGTCACATCTGTGGCACAAGACGCGCGAGCGCAGATGTCGAAACTTGCAGCACGAGCTTGGAAGAATTCCTCTAGCTGGTGGCTCTGCAACTCTGGTACTGGAGCATCTGTAATGCCATTGAACACCTTGGGTGAAGTTGGGCTGGTGGACTTCAAAAGCTGCTGTGATATGATATGAGCACACAGCTGAACTTCTCAGGACAGCTGGTAGCAGCATGTACTGTGGCGCAAAGACTGTTTGCAAAGCCTCAGCTAAGTCGCAGTTCTTCGACGGCGTCTTCCCGAAGCCAGCAAACCGTGCTTTGGCTCAGCCGGGCTCTGCTCCTGAAAGCTGTGAGAAACTAAAGAAAGTGTTCGGGTTGCTTTGGGCTAAGAGCGCGAGCGATCTGCACCTCGACAAAGCTTCCCTTCTTGGCCGCTGATAAGCCGACGCGATTCTCGAAGCACATGATACTTTGCCTTTCGCAGCAGGACGTTGCATGGAAGACGGAACCACATGTCGAAGACGTCTTTGCAGTCGTCTTTGCCGCCTCATCCTGTCCGTCCGATCCAGGTCCCACCTGTCCATCATGTTGGCCATGCCTTGCAGGTACCTGAAACTGACATCTGCAAAACTGATTCCTGTGACGATTGATGCATCGACCGTGGCAGCAAAGCTAAAGCCAGATAAAGCATCACAAACGCTGCATCTGGGATGCCCATCTTTGCCGACATCAATCTCAGTTTCCTCCGCAAAAATCCCTAGCTTCTTCAGTGCTGCCATAGCACGCACTATACACCCCTGTCCTCTGGCGGTCCCTGTGAGGCTCGCCAATGCAGATTCACGAGACGGGCAGAATGGCGCACCTGCGCACGTGTCGGCTTCAAACAACGTGGCAAATGCATTGCAGCTGTAAGCTGCTGCAGGCAAAGTAGCCGGATCGTCCCGCAAGCCAGTTATCTCTGACTCGGTAAATGCCTTGCTGGAAGAGCTCGAATTACACCAGTAAAAAAAAAGCCACCGCAGCATTCCTGTCGAAGTCTGCATTGAGTGGACATTGCACTGCCGAGGTCACGGCCCTTGCTAGGCTTCTCGCTTTGGCCTCGAGTCCAGGGGTTGTGGGGCAGGTGAACAGGAGCACTGACATGAGAGTCGCCTTGCTGGGCGGCGGAGCGGCGCCCGGGCCTTTGCCCTTGGCCTTCGGTGGAGGCGGTTTAGGCAAAGAGCCTCGAGGCGAGCGAGGGCCTGCAGCCAGTGACCCTCAATCTTTTCTCCACGTCTACTTGGACTCTGCATGGCTGTGCCACTGGCTGCGCCTGGCGGCGGAGCTGGAGCCTGGCAGATGCATTTGCACCATCCTGGCCCGGCTAGTCTGGGAGCCAGCCTTCGCCTTGCCAAGCAGGCTCACGCCTTTGGCCACTGCAACACCTCTCAAGCAACAGCAAATCAAGCGACTGGAGGCACAGATTGCACATCATGTGACAATTAGCTTACAAAGTGCGCATGTGCGTGCGTGCGTGTGTGTGTGTGTGTGCAAACTTGAACAATGGAGCGGACTATTGGACCAGCCTAGCTCATCGACGAGCCCACTTTGAGAGTCGTCTTGCTCAGTCTTCTCAAGACCTCCGACTCGCTCCAGACCATGCTAACGTGTCACATGGCTGGATTGCAGGCTCTTGTGCGCTGGCCTGATGGCTCACTGCCAAGTTGCAGGTCTTTGCGCCTGCTTTGGTTGCTGATAACGTCGCGTTTCTTCTCTTAACTTTGCGGAGCTAAGGTAGCAGCATCGACTGCAGATGGGCCAACTGGAGCTCCTTCGCAGCTCGAATTAGGACGGAATGCATCGACCGTTAAAACGACATTGTCTGCCGAACGACATCTGTCCTGCTCCAAGTCGCGAAGCTCACTCTTCCTGTGAAGTTGCGCAATCAGTTGTGAAAAATCAAACCCAGAACGACTTTGGTACAAAGGACCTACAGGAGAGAACAGGCTGAGCAGCTGACTCTGCAGCGAGACGCCTCATCGCTTTATCTTGCTGCGCGTTCAACAAACTCTTCGATCCGGCCCAAAGGAACCCAAGTAAGGTTCAGACCTTTGACGGTCAGCCTTGCGATCCGGCTGAGACTGCTGCTCCAATGCCTGCCTCCGAAGAGGACCAAAAGCCTGCCAGGTCCCAAACTTCGTGTCTGCTTCAATTAAGTGTCAGGGCCACTCGACGGGGTCTTGCAGTCGCATATAAATCGGCATGTGGTTCCTAAACGTTTGTCTTGTGAAGTCTGAAACGCGTCAGGGACGTCACAGGATTGATCAACAGTCGCTTTCTGGAGTTCGACGATTTGCCCCCCAATCCACAGCGCCAGACGTTTGCTCATCGAAACCATGACTTGGACCCCGCCGGTCTTGCTTAGGGCGCAAGAGAAGCCCCGATGTGACGAAGACGCTCGGCACCGGCTTGGGTCTCGCGTGCTTCCAGAGTGCGAGCCTCCTCGCAGCCTGCTAGCAGCTGCTGGAGTCTTGAGTGGCACTCCTGAGCACACCACAACCCGTGGTGTCATGCAGTCAGGACGTCGGAGAGCTGCTAGGATCTCTATGCTGTCAAGCCTGCCTTGCAGGCTAAACAATTTAGCCCGTTGCACTTGCTCTTTCGAGCTCCAGAGGTGGTCTTGATTCAGCGACAGCGCATGGTATCGCCGGCACCTGCTACGAAACGGGAGGATGATACATAAACTATGTGCGATGGAGCTATGATATGTCTAGATTCATGTTGCATTGCCTGCTCCACCTCATCACATAGCTTCTTCACGCGATCACGCAAGTGGTGAACCTCCATGGCTCGTTTTGGGGGGTCATGGCCGGATCGACTTTGAGCGAGTGCCTCCTCCAAGGCATCTCGAAGCTTCTGCTGCAGATCTTCATCCACCTCAGCAAGCTACCATCAATGCCAAAGGCCATCAACGAAGCTTCGGATCCGTGTTTTGGCTGCTAGCTTGCGAACACATGGAAGGCAAAATGGTCCAAGCCGGGAATCAGACCTCCATGCAACTTCACCTGTGGTTGTGGGCGGGTCCAGCAGCGATGAACCGTTGTGGCTTCCAGCATTGCAAGCCAGACCCTTCCTGCCTCTGGCTGCGCACTCGGACCAGGGCTTCAGGGAAGCAATCGAGTAAGCTTTAAGCCAGCAGCCGAAGAAGCAAGTGGGCAGGTGTCAGCTATTGCACCATTTATTGCGTAGGCTGTTGACAGCACTTCCAGAGCTGCTGTGGAACTTAACCTTCCTTCTAGTGATGAGTATGACAAGGCAGATGTCGGCCCTGCTGAGAAGTGAGCCAGCGTTCTTGAGACAGGTCCAGAACCGCCACTTCATGTCCGGCATCCTCGTTGGAACCAGAATTGTGCCAACTCCCACTTGCAGGCGTCGAGAAACAAAAAGGTTGGCGCGCACCGTCAGGACAATGACCCGTGTCTGTGGCTTGAAATTCTCCAGCACCTCGGGGCACCGACTCAGCAACGGAAACCAAGCGAGCAGCCCAAGTCCCTGCAAGCACCTCCGGATGCATCCCTGGGGCGTCTTGCAACTGCAAACCACAGATGCAACCAATGGGCAAGGCTGGTGAACTCCTCCTCCAGAAACAAGGTTGCTGGTGAAGCCTCGGTGAAGCCAGGCGACCCAAAGACTCACCACGGCACCTGACGACGCGATGGAGAAGTCATTGCTCTTGGCCTTCCCGTTGGGGTCGACAAGGACAAGCGCCTCATCGTGAAGGCCCTCAGCAGGGTGGTGGACTTGCTTGGGCCTTCCGAGAAAAAATACCAACTTTGCGGCGCAGCAAACTTGAAAACCGATCTGTGAGGCACAAATGGCAAGCCTGCAGCGAGCCAAGTCGGCTTCCCGAATTCTCTCAGCACGTTTCCTACCACCAGTCAGGCAACCGCAGATGCCTCACAAGATGCCCGAGTTGCCCGGCCCCGGGTATGCAGATGCTTCACAAGAGCTTGTGGATCTACTTGTCCATTTGTGCGAAGGCTGGTGGGCTTGGGCTTCCTCAAGCTCGCAGTGTGTCTGCTGCATGGGAGTTTTGCAACACTTCTTAAGCCAGCTGATCGTGATTGTGGTGTGGCCAAGCTAGTAAGAAATGCTGCATGCCACCCTCCAGCAGAGTTCAATGTGAGCGGTTCGAAACCGAATCCAGGTAAGGCTCGGGCCTGCCGGTCAGGATCGCTTAATGCGGTAGCATGGCCCTCGAAATACATGACAAAGTAGTCATTGACGTCGCATCTGGACCTGGCTCATTTCATGGGATGCAAGCGAGAATGAGATGAAGCGATGCCATTGGGTCGCTTTGTATCCAAGGCCAGGGTCTACCACGGCCGCTGTCTAGGTGTGAAACCGCTGCTGAAATTGTCAGCATTCGTGGGCCGGAGGCCCGCTTGCATTGCTTGGCCGCATAAGAGGCTCTTTGGTCCTATACCGTGGAGTTGGACCTGTCCGTTCATGCTCTAGAAGGACCCTGGTGAAACCTTCAGCGCTCAATCCAAGTTTGCGAAAGACAGAGCCAGGTCAGAAAAGTTGGTCTGCATGGATGCCTGCAGGATTCAACAGCAGAGCGGGTATCTCCTCTTCCAGGTGGTTTGTGGTTGAAGACTCTTATGCAAACGCAGTTCTGATTCAGAAAGAGCCAACTCACCTGCCTGCTCATGGCGCGCCGTTTCTGTTTCGAGATCTGCTGAATTGCCTTGAAAACTTGCACACATGCGCGGAAGCGATGGAGCCTAACAGTCAGTAGCACTATCAACGTAAACAGTCGTAGGAGTAGCAATCGTGAATCGTGGAATGGAAAAGCCTTCGCAAAACACGATAGGTTTCGATATGCTGTCTCAAGCCGCTTCAGAAAGCATACAAAGCACAAAGCAAAACTGCGGGAGAAAGATGTTCAAAGTGAGCGTGCTTGGATTTAAACAGCATGCACAATTCCACAGGTATTGCCACATCACTGGGCGACGAATATTTCAATGTCTGGGAAGCTGCGTAAAGTTGCATCGCGACGGCGAGGATACCTGACCGCCTGTATGCAGCACCCTGGCGCCAGCAGTACTGCACCACCCCGCTGCGCATGGCAGTCTGCTGCAAACCCTCGAGTTTTGTGTCGCCCCGATGCACCGGGCAGCCACGGCTCTTTTGCATCGTTTGCTACACGCATTACACGGGCAAAATCGCACGTGCCTCTGCCCGCAGGTCTGTAACCATACGACCGCCGCCGGGTTGACTTTTCGTCCACGGCGCAACCGCGAACGGGACGATGCCACGTTTAAACGCAAGCCGGATGCTCCCATCGCTGCTGGTTTTGGGAGCCACACCATCCACGCTGAAGCATTGGATTTCACAAGTCAGAATGCGGGCAATGCATTTTCCCAACACGAAGTGGGAACTTCTCAACTTGGCTGTGGGCTGCTAGAACTGTAGAACAGTTGTAGAACCCTCCGCGGAAGGAGACCCCATGGTTCGGACGCAGGAGTAAACTCCTGGGGCAGGGGGTGCCAAGCCATAGGGACCTGCAGGCAGAGGGGTCTATTTGACATGGGTGTCTCCTCCTTTTCAGAGGGGTAAAGGGACGGGGTGCAACCCCCGCCCTCGCACTCAAGGCAAAGGTATCTTGCTTGCTTGCAGCTGTGAGGGGTCGGGGATGCATGGTCCCCTTCCCCTGCGCAGGCGCGCTATGCCGGACGGGTATCTCTCTTTTTCTCTCTCTGTCAAATCCACAAGTGAGACCAATCGTCAGCAGCCCTTTCAATTGGTCAACTGAAAACCTGTAACTGGGCCCATTCTTTCCTATCTTTGGCTAAAAAGGGTGCAGGGAATGCCATAGGTCTGTATTCGTAAAGTATTTAGACTGATCGGGTAAATCTCATGGTGTGTTTGGACTCTGGGAAAGGATGCACTGTCGTCGATGAGCTTGCGTCATACTTAAGTTCACTCGGCCCAATGCTTCCGAGGGTGGCCAGGGCGACTTTTGTGGATACGCCTGAGCTGTCTGGAAGCTGGCTATATGCTTCAGCGAAGATATCAATTACGTGATGAAAAATCTGTTTGGAAGGACATAGGAGTTTGGGAACATGTTCATATACCAGCTGGAAAATTACTCATTGGAGCAATCGGCGTCGGAGGGTTCCGATACTTTATGGTAAGAAGCTTCTGGCATTGAAAATTTGCAGGAGGACCTTATAATTGAGTTTGTTGGTTTTAGTAACGCAGGAAGAAGGAAGGAGGGAAGGAAGTCGTTGCGGCATGTGGTTGCCAAACCCCGAACCCTGCTGGTTGCCAAAACAAAGTACCTAGAAGGAAATGTTGGTTGCCACACTTTCAAACCCTGATTCTAGAATTGGCTGCCAAACCCTAAACCCCAAAAAAGAAGATGCTGTTGGTTGCCACATCCCAAACTCTAAGAAAAGATGTTGGTTGCCAAACCCTAAACCCGACGAACCCGAAACGGGGTGTTGCCCAACCCTCAACCCTAGATAGAAATATTGTTTGCCAAACCTTGACAATCCAGTTGGCTGCCAAACCCGAAACCATAAAAGCAAAAGGTTGGTTGTTCCAAACCCGAAGATGCAAAAAGAAATGTTGGCTG